GTGATGGGAGTGAAAGGCAAATAAGTAGTGAACATATATTTTCCTCTACACTTGAAGAAAATAAAAATCATTTCACAGTTTAAAAGGAGGGACACTAAATTCTTGTATTTTTATATACCTCAGAATAAGAACCACTTAGGTAAAAGTTTGAAATACACAAAATCAGAATTGGAAAAAAAAAAAAACCTTTTTAATAAATCGAGTGATTACATATTAAAACTCTACATCTTTACATGTTTTGGAGGTCTTTCATCAATTTTCTAAAATCTAATTTCATTAAATCTGTGAAAGGTATTTTTCTTTGAACTGATTAATACTGTGCTGCCTTATTTTATCTTTTGTATGATTGATAAAACATCAACTTTAGCAGCATCTAAATATGTGGAACTGGATTGGGGCCAAGGTGCAAAAAAAAATAATTCCTCTAATCTGTTTTTTTTTTTCCTCTGAATTCTGTGTTTAAATGCAGATTTCAGGGTAAATAATTGTTTTCTACTGTGGCCATAATCCTTTTCATTATAAAAAGGTCATACTCTGCATGAGTTGTTTATCTGCATCATACTGTATAATTATATTTTTGTGAGTAATTTTGTGTGTAGACATTACACAATAAAAGTAATGTATGAATAACATTTAAAAAGGAAGTATGTGTAAGTTTAAGATGTTTTTGAACACAATTAATTTTTTGCCCCTCATTGTTTTAAGACAGGCAGCTGAGCAGACAAAAATAGGTTTGTTCCCTAAAAAAGTAGAGAAAAACTTTTAATTGTTCAAAAGATTTTTCTTTTAAACGGATAATTTAAATGCTACATGACAACGAATAAGTCAAAGTTTGCCAGAGTGAAACAATCAAACAATCAAACAATCAAATCAATTACATCATTTATTTTAAGAACTCAGTGAAAATGATAGAATGTATGACTGTGACTATCAAAATTACAACTTTTTGACATAATTTCATTAAAAGGTTTTTCAAACATTATTAGGCTACTAATTAAATCTTTTTTTTTTTTTTTCAAATTTCCTAAAGTTCAGATGGACATTCAGTGAATAGACTGGAAATAAATAGATACACCTTTAATTAAAATAAAAGATATGTGAAGCTTGAAACTTTTTAATTCTTGGAACAATTATTATTATTATTTTATAACTGGCCATTAACTTAAAATGTCCATCCTTCACTACATTATTTATATCTAGAATAAACTTTGAGAGTATTAAAAAAAACAATTCTCGGTAGTAAAATCTTACATTTCATGTACAGTATACAACATAGTTATTGCATTTCACCTGTTTTAGGTTAAAATAGTATCTAAAATGTACTCTAGAGATTTTCAGTTTCATTGTTTCTTCTCATTAAGTTCATAATTCCTATTAATAATGTCTGATATTGCTGTCCACCAAGTCACAAATGAATATCTCTAATGCCACATTTCCTCTTTTTAAAGAAATCCAACATTTCATTAGAAATGTTTTAAATGTGTTATTATTAAAATTACTAAACAAAATGGAATTGTAGATACCAAAACAATGTAAGCTTTGTTTAGTTTGCTGAAGGATTACCTCTTTTGTGGCTACTGAACAGAAAGCTCTTGCAAAGGGAGATGTGCTACTCAAACTGTGCTGCTCACCAAACGGCGTCTCTCTGAGCTGGTACAGCTTGTGCGTGTTTAAACAAGATATATTTGCCTGCAATTAGAGGAAAAATTACGAGAATATGAAATTATTAGCAGTGCTTAATTTGAGCCATTTCCTGCTGGAACAGGATTCAGGAACTCTTATTTTGACAGGGTATGTTCTGGCAACTGTTGTATGGATCCGGTAACTCTCAGGCTTACAAATAATAAAGTTATGAACAAATATGACTGCCTTGAATGAATAAAACATATTAAATATCCATCTATTCATCCATCCATTATCTTTTACCCGCTTCTTCCATTTTGGGTCACGGGGGTCGCCGGTGCCCATGTCCAGCAATCGCTGTGCGAGGGGCGGGGTACACCCTGGACGGGTTGCAAGTCCATCACAGGGCCACATAGAGACAAACGAGACAAACAACCATTCACGCTCTCACTCACACCTAGGGACAATTCAGAGTTACCAATCAGCCTAACATGCATGATGCATGCACAGAGAGAACATGCAAACTCCACCCAGAAAGGCCCCAGGACCGAGATTTGAACCAGGGACCTGCTTGCTGAAAGGCAGCAGCTCTACCAGTTGTGGCACCGTGCTGCCCTATATTAAATATGTAAACTGAAAATACTTAAAAACTCATTTTCATTGGTTGTTTAAAAAAAAACCACCTTGTTGCCATGGTTACACATTATAACAAATGCCCAAAAGTAAAAAAGCTTTCAGTAAAAATCCTTCCAGCTGCACAGCATCTGATACCAAAGTAAATAATCATCCGAAAAAAGCGATTTACATCCAGAAAAAGGAAGAATTAAAGTTTTTAAAAGCAACAATTGCAATTTCCAGAATTGGGCCGCTCAAGGTGGCTGGATGTTGGAGTAGCTCTCACATTCATTCTGAGATTTTGCTTTTGGAAACTTTATTAATATTTTTTCTGAATCAAATCGCTTTTTTTTGGATGATTACTTCCTCTGATATCGGATGCTGTGCTGCTGGCAGGATTTTTACTGAAACCTTTTTTTAGTTTTGGACATTTGTTATGATGTGTAACCATGACAACAAGGTGGTTTTCTACAACTGGGAGCAGCTGATTAACATCTCAAAAGCTCAAATCTCAACTACAGCCCCAAATCCCAAATGAGTTGAAAATAAGGTGCCGTGGATGCATTCCCGTCTACCTGGAGGCGGTGCTTGAGTGCCTTGCTGCAGAGATCTTGGAGGTAGCGGGAAACGCAGCTTGTGACAGCAGGAGGACCGCGATCATCCCCCGGCACCTGCAGTTAAGTCTGCAGCAATAAGGGGCTTGGCAGACTGCTGGGAAAAAATGGCCATTGCTCAGGGAGAAGTTCTGCCCGACATTCAGGCAGTCCTGCTGCCCAAGAGGACCGAGAGGTCTGCTGGGTCTGGGTGGACAGATTGACATCTGTAGCCAGTTTCTTCGGATCCGCTGTGGGACAAACTGCTACAAGAGATCCTTCCTGCCCAAAGACATCAGCATCTAAAACAACTCTAATGAAACCAAGATGAGCTACAACAACAATTAATTTCCCTTTGGGATTAATAAAGTATATTTGAATCTGAATTGAATTTGAAATCAGAATGAATGTAAGAGAGCTTCTCCAACATGCAGCCACCCTGAGCAGCGCAATTCGAGAATGCTAATTTGCTACTTGGAAAAATAACCCCGCTATTAGTGGATTAGTGGAACTGTGTCAATTCAGTTCAATTCAGTTTATTTATATAGCGCCAAGTCACAACAGAAGTCGTCTCAGAACACGTGTCACTTCTGACAATATGTATCTGCAGAATATTCCTACTTGTGCAAATTGAAAAGTGTACATTTGAAAATCTGTTTATGCAGTTGTGAATCTTGTAGTACGCATTTGTAAAACTTGTGGCTTACTTGTGGATCTTAATGCGCACATACAAATCTTCTTGTACACTTGCGTGACTACTTTTGTGACTGATTTTTCTTCATAATAAGCCATTGCAGTTTTGAGTGTGCATGTGTGAAGCTTTACCAAAACTTCCAGGTCACGTGAGACAAGCGGTGAGGTTGCTCTTGAAACACTGTTGGAATTCAACAAATTCAACTGGTATATTTACAACATTACAGACCAGATTTATTTGCTCTAAGCTGATTTGTGTTAAACATTCCATTAAGATCAAATAGATTTTTCATA